CTCACTGTTGTATGAGGAGTGTAGGCAGACAGCATATACCTTTCACAAGCATGTACTGTTACCTTGTCTATAATCCCCACTGCTTGAAGAACTGACATTCCTAAAATGTTTTCTTTCTGTGCAGAATCAATCTTGTGTGTGTTGCAATAGACCCATTAAAGAGCAGTGACTAGTAATGAGGTTACTCAGGTAGGGAGGACACATTGAGGTTTTCACTGTCTTTAAATAAAGACATAACAAATGTACATATTTTATGTAAAATAGCATGATGTCTACTTAATCATAAAAGCTGGTTTTCTATTCTCTTCAGTAATAGACGGAGCAAGTATAACTCTCTCTACATCCAAATTCAAGGCCCATATTTTGTCAGGTCAGAGCTCTTCTCAAATGTGATACTGTATTATGCATCTTCCATTCTCATTCAGATTATCCCAAACAATTTCTGATTTTTCTCAAGCTGACTCATTCTTCATACCTATTAGCTGAATTGTTGCTGTAAAGGATTCTCTGCCCATGAACTGTATGTGCATATATTTGATTTATACTGGTTTGGTTAGTTTTGATCAGACACACAGAACACAGTCTTCTTCCTATTCCCTGCCTGGAAGAGAACACCTAGGTGATAAACCATGTTTTTTCACAAATATTATCTAATTTTTGATTAAAATTTTCAGCTTCTCAAACATTATTGCCGTTACACTTGATGGGTTAATAGGAACTCTGGATAAAAGGAAACATGAGTGAAGAGCCACAGAAATATTGTCAGTTATTCGCATTGCTTTCTTGAGTTTGGTTTCAAAGTCTATGAAAGTGTCTTCTTTGTCCACTTTATACTGGACAACTACTGCCTGGTTTTCAAAAACCTCTATGAAAGGCAGCATCTCCAGCCCAGATAGTCAGGCACAGACAGAGTGCTGTCTATCAAACTGCTCATCACTTGGCATCAGGCCATTTTCTGAAGTCTCTGAGAAAAACACCTTAATGTCTAACAGAAACTGTTGGAAGCAAAGTTGGAGCAGTACTCTGACCAGTATTGGACAGTTGATCACTGATGGCAGAGCCCTAGTGGCAAAGTGTAAAATATGCATATAGTTAACATTTTAAAGAGAACATAAAGCCAAAAGGAAAACAACATGGTAAATTAGAAGTATTGACCCAGGAGAGGAAACAGAATGGCCTTCTTGGCTTCTTACCTGGAACCTTCTGTCTAGCCCCCAATTCAGTAGGCAAGATGTGACTCCCTTCTTTACAAGTACAACATGTTAAATTACTTTAGAGTTCTTTCCATAAATACGGCATTCCAATCTTTACCACCTAGGAGCTTCATTTGCATTCAGCAATGAAGCAGTTGAATTTTTAAGGTATTTTGTTGTTAAATTGAAATTATGTTGGAAGGCTGCTTGCACAGCAATGCCCTGTTCATTACACATAGCAGAAGTCTTTATAAAAATCTTGGAGCTGACTGCAGCTTTGTGCTGCTTGTCTTACACACACCAAAACCACTGTATGATACAAAGCATTGTGTAAGGCTGTGTAAGAGACAGCTGTGTCTGTATCCAGGTTTAACAGGGAACAAGCCACAACAATATGATTTCTTCATTCCTTCTCCAGAGTCCTCTATCTTATGCCTATGTATGTATTTTCTGGGCCATTTATTCTTTCCTATACTGAAGAACACTAACAAACAGGTAACATAGTGAAGATTGGATATTTATATATGTCCTATCAGCATAAACAAATATATAGACTATATCAGTAAGGCTATAACCCTACAGGGGCATACCATTAGCCTGAAAACAGGTACTATTAATTTAAACGTGTTTTTAAGAAGTACACCTCTTTATGTACCAGTCTAGCATATAGTTCAGAACTGCACTTCTAAGTAGATATTGCTTAAGACACAATTGCTCTTCTGTGCTTCAGGCTACATTTTCATCTAGTCATGACAGCATAACCAGCAGTCTATCTTTTGCTTTCTGTAGGGCAATAACTATGCTCCATTAATTAAAGCTATGGGTATTATTAAGTGGAACTGCTGTTGAGATTATGAAAAAGAGCATTGCTACATTGACAGCAAAGAGATTGCTGTATGTTTTAAGTGTGTTCTGTTTTTTTTTTTTTTTTGGGGGGGGGTTGCTTGGGGGTTTTTTTAAAGAAACCTTCATCCTGGAAAATACATGGATCAGAAAGAAATAACAATTCTCTATGATGAGAAAATAAAGGAAATTATAACCTGAAATTATATACCTGAGAGTTGAAATGAGGAGTACTTTTCCTCACTGTCTGAATCACTACACCCAGAAAATGAAGTATGGGCATCAAATTAAGCAACTAGCTAGCAAATTAAAAATGTTTTTAAAAATAGTTCAGCATTACTGTAGCTGAAAACATTGTTTTTTTTTTTTTTTTGGTGGAGGTCTGCTTGAGTGTATTTTTAAAGTTCAGAATTACTATAAAGAAAACATCTTCAGCTGATATCTGAAGCAGTATCAGAGCCAAAAAAAAAAAAAGGCTGGAAAAGTCCTAAGCAAGGACAATTTTTCAAGTATTTCAGCTGCTTAAGTGATTAAAACATACTACTCCAACATGAAATTGAGAACAATTATTGTAGTCATTTAAGGAGTTCATTCAACTTCAGAGTTAAGTTTGGTTTGATGATTAAAATACAGGGCAAGGAACCAGTAAACATAAACTCTATTTTTAGTGTTAGCACTGACTCACTGTGTGATATTAAGCAAGTCACTTAATTTAACTTTCTCACTCTCTGTCTCACCTGTAAAATGAGGGAACCTACCTCAGAAGTTCTTTGTGAGATTAATTAATTAAACATTTGCTGCACACCTAACATTTCTTGGATGTAAGGTGGTGGAAGATGCATTATTATACACATATATAAACAGGATACAAGAGCAGAGGTGGGTGGTTTCTATAAAGGAAACTCACATCTCTTTCATCTTTGAATTTTTTAAGCATGACAACAAAATAATTAACTACAGGAAAAACTATGGGTGAAGCCCTTGAAAAGAGTTTATAAATTGAAAAAAAAGCATAGCCACAAACTAGACAGACCAAACTATAACCAAGAATAAAAATACATTGATATTCTTCAGTAGAGTGCACAATTAAAAGACTAAGGTGAATTTTTCTCTCCTATAATGTATAAACAAATTTACATCCAATGGAAGCGAGAGGCAGCTGATGTAAATCTGGAGAAAGGAAATAATAATATTTTTTTTAAAACCCACATTTTTTACAGAACTCGTTGCCACATGGCATTGTTGGAACTGAGATCTCAGTGAATTCAAGAAACAAACATTTATATGGAAATGTGAATATCCACTGTGATGTTTTATGAACGGAAAGAGTTAAATCCCCTCATGTTGCACAGTACAAATGATAGGCATTTAAAAAAATCTCCTGGGAAGCCCGTTAGAAGACAGCTGATCACCCTGGACTTAGTGACAACTGTATCAGAAGCACCTAGTACGGGTCACGGATGGAGGCAGAACCCTGGAGTAGGTGGACCAATGGTTGCCTTTAGTACAGTCAACTGGATGCTGCTGAGGCTGGACCGAGCAGCACAGGAGCACAACTTTAGCATCCTTCTACTCTTGTTGTAACTATGTTGTAGAAAATGCCAGGTTTGTTCTGTCATAAAATTAACTACATCAGCAACAGAAGAGGGTCCAGCAACTTTTAACTGAAGAGGCAATTTTACCTCACAATGCAGTTTAGCAGATTAAAAAAAGCAATAATTTTTACTAACATAGTGACCCTATGAATGAGCCAATGAAAACCACAGCAAACTAAAAAAGCGTGATCGATGACACATTCAAAGGTTACGTGTCTCCTTTACAGCTGCTTGCCTCACCAAAGACTGTTTGGGGAAAGGGCACAACTTATCCGCACTCTTCTGAAGCCAGTTACTGTTATCTTAAACGTTCATAAAAATATCACTACTGCTTTCTGTTGGTTCCATTCAAACCCGAGTAAGGCCTTTATGTAAAGCATGGTCATAATAATTTTACAACTCTGGAATGAAGCTGGTGTTTGGTACTCTACCAGGGCAACAAGCACAGGAAAATTCAGATTTTCTATCCTTTTAAAAGCAACTTTCTAGGTTAATAAATAAATTCTGCAGTATCATTTGGTAGCTATAAATGCAAGCAAATTATTTACTTTCATCGTAACATTTTTTACGCTGCAAATTCTAGATCATACTAAGCTATCCCTACACTATAAATATAAATATATTATTGATACATTTTACAAGTTTCTACGAAATTAGCATTGCAGAGGCATCTAGACAAAACCTTAGGCACTCCACCAAGAGTGGCAGAGCCTTTAGCTCGGAGTTTCAGAGCTAAAGACCAAGATGGAGAAGTGCAGAAATAACACCACAACCACCACCACCACGGGTTATGTAGTTATACTAAAAAGAACCAGTGACTCACTGTTCATGTTTACTTGCCCTGTATGCTTTAGGGGTGAGTGGAGATTCATGCAGAAAACTAGTTCTTTTATTCTCCTTTTTATTTTGCTTATTAGTAGCTAGTACTACCACGTTCATTAAGTCAAGCAAGATTAAGAATAAACACGAGGTGTTTGTCATCCAGCATTAATAAAATGACATGTGCTCACACACAGCTGCTTGTGTCTACATTTCATCAGCTGTTTTTTCCTGTCTGTCCAAAGCGAATGGGTATGTTTCTTTGCACAGTACATGTACCTTGGCCCTTTTCTACACCTACCCTACGCCTTTCATCCAGTCTCTACATCCTGAGAGCCTCCTGCGTTGCTGCTATCCCTTTTCTCACCCCAACTGGGCCAGGAATCTCCTTTCTCTTCTCACTTCAGTGATGGAAAATGACATCGAGTTTTCCTTTCGCTTGTATTTGTGTCCCTAACTGCACACACATGTAAATACATAGAGAAGCAATCTTTCTCTCGTGCAACTTAACAAGCTAGGTAGATTGTTTGCTTTCTTAGCTGATACTCACTGCGCTTAAAGAGTCGTTTGTCCTAGAGCAGCAATTTCTTAAGGAGTATGAATAAGGCAGGCAGGCAGGCAGGCAGACGATGGCACAAGCAACTCCACTACAGTATTAGAAACCAATTCTCACGATGACTATAGCTGGACTCCTCCTAGTGCCTGAGAGAGCTGCAAGAAAAGGGAAGGGCTCAGGATATGATATCATGCGCTCATTCTAAAAACAAGGAAATTGTTGTAGATGATTGAAAAAGTAACAGCTTAAAAATTCCTGAATGGCCAATAACAGAAAATTACTTTTCTGCTTCACCTTCCCTACCCTCTCCAGTGAAAAGTTTCAATAAATACAAACGACAAACTTAGAAAACAGTATTTACATCATTATTTGGACTAGCCTAGGAGATGTATAACAGCCAAGCCACCTCAGAGCGTTGCTTAGTGTTGCCTGGTGCTGTCTGTTGAATGTGCTTATGTCAGATCTTAAACTTTGAGCTTGTTTCCAGGTCTGTTCAGGCAAATGCACCAGTCCTCAGCATAGCTGGCTCTGCAGCCACAGGTGGGTTTGTGTAAGCAACAAGGACTCCCTGTCAGTACTCTGACTTGTTTATTGCCTTTTTCAGCAAAAGTAAAATCTTCTAAAGCACCTAAGTGACTTAGGAATCCAATTAATATTTCTAAAGCAATGTAAACAAACAGGCTTTTAAATCTTATGGAAAGTCAACATGATTTTGTGCAGATTTGCTGGGGTAAGTTTTACTCCTTAGATCTCTTTCTAATTGCAAGCCTGCTTTAGAAACAATAATCCATTTACAGGGCTATATTATTATAAATTTATTTCCCAGGTCATCATTTACAGTTTTTAAAAAAGAAATTAAAAAACATTTGAAGCAAAGCAGATATCCTCACTTAGCACAATTGTTCCTAACCTGGATTTAGCTTTGAAGTATTTCAGATCCAAAGGAGGACCTGCGTGCCTGGAAGCTTGTCTGTACTTTCCAGCTTTATCAATTGGTCTAATAAGTCACTTGTTGTCAGAATATTTTTGTTTCTAATATAATCCCATAAAACACTGTCTCATAGGAAAAATTAGCACAGCCTTCAAGCACACAGCATTTTTATGTTATGTTTGGAATTGCTATATTCTCTGTTATGGCAGTCATTGTGCCTGCCTTTCAGATTACTTTTTTGTGTTAAAAATTTCCTGTGATTTTTTTCATGTAATTCATCCCAGATTCAGCATTAAGGCCACCCATGAGTGCTATATTATAGTTTACCATCATTTTCAAGATCCTATATTGGCTTTTGGTTTAATGGCTTGGATTTTGTGGAACTTGATCATATTAAAGCAGTTTAGTGATTGGGAATTTTATGTTTCGTTATTTGTCAGTATCCTTCTACTGAGCTGTACAACTGGGTGTTGCTCTTGCAGCTCTATTGTTTAAGAAGAAATATTTTGCTGCCAGATTTCTTGTTCTATTTGTGCCCTTTGTTACTGGACTTTCAATTTCAGGAACTTGTTCTATTTAAGAGGACAGTGGAAGAACAATACTTTATAATATAATATTTATTATACAGATGCTGGTATTATCAATGCTTGTTTATCCAGCGGTGATGTGTCTCCTAAATAAACTAGCAGTAGTAGTAAAATAAATTGGAACACAGAACCATTTTCTTCATAAAGAAATTCTAGGAATGTTTTAACTACTTGTATTTCTGAAGCGAAGATCTTTACTTGTTCTGTCTAGAAAAGGGTAGTGACATCTTAAATTGGGCAAACAAATCTTTGTGAGGCTGAGAAGTGTGAATTAAGATCACTAACACATTCACTTTTGTAGAATTTGTGAAGTCCCTTCTCTGTGGAATACACTTTACACTTCTGTTTCTCTTCTTTTGGCTGGGCTTTTAGTAGTAGTATAAAACCTATGTAGGTGATCACCAGGATTTGAGGAGATGTCCCACAACAGTGTAGACTTGTCACGGCTCCGGGTTTGATTTGGACATTTCATGTATTCACACACTGGAACACAAACCATACTCTTAAATGTTCAGGGGATGAGGGAGCTGGAACTGCTACAGAAAGCAGGGTTACCTCTGGTCTGTTCCTACTCCTCTCTGGCCCTATGAGTGGGTTACTGTACAGAACACAGCAGCATCCGGGTCATTGCTCAGCCTGAGCTTTGATGAGGTGGGGTACAGCCTGCATTGTGCTCCTAATCTGAATCTGCAGGAAATAAAACAAAAGGTATCTTGGAATATTCCAACCGAAGATATTCTGAAGAGAACACACACATTAGTAACCAGGCTTTGAGTCCAGACAGATGAAACAAACCTAGACTAACCACAGGCACGTTAGTGTTGATTCTCTTCTTGGTTCTCTATAGATTTTAACATCCATCTGACTTCATCCTGAACTACTTCAGTGCAAGCAAGATGAAAAGCAGACTAATTGTGCACAGCTCTGATTTGGTTGTATTCCTTTTTTCTTTCTGCCAGAAGACCATCTTTCTCTTAGATTCTTGTATGTTGCTTCCTCGTCCTATTTTCCTTCAAGATTAAGTTTGACTTAAGGAATCATGAAATAATTCTGATTAGAAGGAATCCCTGGAGATCATCTGGTCCTTTACCTTCTCAAAACAGGGCTATCTTCAAACTTAGATCAGATTGCTTAGTGCCTTGCCTTGTCCAGGTGTGAATATCTCCAAGGGTGGACAGTCCAGTCTCAAGGGGCCTTAAGCATTTGACCACTCTGAAGTCCATATGAAGTGTAACTTATATTCCTCTGGTCAAATAGAATGTTTGGATGTTTCCCCACGTCAACATACAGCATCTGGTAGTAAACCTGGATGGGGAGGTAGTTTGGAGCTTGGGAAAGAGGTGGGAGGGAACTACAATGTGGAGAAAGGAGGAAAATCCAAGTTTTTAGTTTTACAGAAGGTAGTAGGAGAGAGAGTGGTGAGCAGGAGTAAAAGGGATCATGGCAGGGAGGGAGAAAAAAAAAGGGCTGTTTCACAGGTCAGGCAAGGTTGTGTGTGGGAGGATAATTTGGATGATGAAAAGGCAGAAGGACAATAACTGAAATGGTCACCACCCAGATTTGGGTACCTCTCACATCCCTAAATAAATCTTCAACAATATGCCATAGCTAAAAATATCTTGCCAGTTCTGGCATGAAGGTGATTACAAGAGCTTGCAGATCATTTTGCTTTCTTAGGTTCCCCGTGCAATTTCAGATGAATGGCACACTTCACATTTAGACAGTGCAGATATTTTAGTCTGCTACTGTTGTGTTCCAAAGTTGCCTTTTCATAGGAAGAGGTACCAGTCCTGCAGCATACAAAAACAGACAACACATGATATTTTTACTGGAGTTGTGTTTATAGATAACTCCAGTTTTGATTACAATTAGTTCTCTCAGAGATCTCTGGCAAAGGTTGTTCTTCATGACAGTACCAAGGAATTAGAGCAGCGATGAGAAATTTTAGTAGTGAGCACTATGAGGTATAAATCATTTTCCAACACTAATAAAAAAGAAAACCAGAAATTGGAGAAGAATTCTTTTCCTTTGCTGATTATTTATTTGCTTGGGAAAATTCAGTGTGACTGTTAAAATTGCTCTCAGGTATCCAAGAGCAACACCAGCAGCAATTGTTTTGCAGTAACAGAAAGCAAAGAGGAATAAGGATGTGTGAAAAAAAAGAAAAGATCTTTAAGAAGGGTGAGATGAATTTGTGTTCCTAAGAGCTAAAGTCTAGGTGATTTTGAATAGAAAATTGCATTTAGTGATATAAACATGTTAGCTGATGAAACCTCACAATACTCACAATACTGTTCTGAAGTGGGGAAGGATTATGCCTTGTTTTGACAGATGGAGAAACACGGACAGAAAAGGCTAAATTCTTACCAGGATCCTTGCCAGCTTCTTTCAAAGTAATTTCCAAGTAAGATCTTTCTACAAGCAGAAAGCTTGTAGCTACAGACATCTCTCCAAGTTTCCCTCTGTTACTATGGAAGAACAGAGATGGTTGAAGCTACTGTCCTGGCCTTTTTTGGAGCTCTGGCTGGATAATAATCTAAACAGAAAACAAGCAGAAACAACCTTTTCTATATGATGACTCACCTTGCCAGAGGAAGATTAGTCAATGGAAATTTGTGTCTGCCTGTACTAGTTTGTAAATATGTACCCATCCCTGCACAAGGCCAGGGGCAAAGCACTAGGGCAGCAGGAGTGGAAGCCTGAGTTGAGTAGTCATAGCTTTCTTGCTGTTGGCACTCCAACATCAACAGAAGAGCAAGCAGAGGAGTCCTAGGCTGATTTCCAGCATTGTAACAGACCTTACGCTTGAAGGATGTCAGGTGCTGAGCCTCAGCTCTCTCATTTACCCTTTCCGCTCACGATCTGTGCAAGGCATCCTCCAGCCCTTCCCCAACACACATGCTCTTTTCATCTAATCTTAGGACTGCTAAATTTTCCTAGAGCTTTTCACAAGGGAAATTATTCAGTCTAAAGCTCGTGTAACTTTAGATTCATTTTGTACTGCCCTATTAATCAGTAAAGTGGTAATGTGGTAACCAGAACCTTGTAGTAGCACAGGTAAGTAGAGATGTAAGAAGTCATTACCTTCTCATTCAATAAACATTTGTTAAAATGCCAGCCTGCTTCTTTTTCTTCATTCTGGTAGTTGACCACACTTGCATCAGGGTACTTCATATGGCCAGGTGTACCTTGGCTTTGCCATTCTTTCCCAGAAGTGTCTGAAATAAAGAGGCTTGATTATTTGCCAGCTAAAATAAATTAAATTAATTTTCCTCTAATACTGGTAAAAGAACCTTGAATGTTGTCAGCAATAGGGTGTTGGTATACCTTTGTTCACATCCTAAATATAGCCTTCACAAGAGGTCCAAATAGAAAAATCCATCAAGCACTCTCTTCATTGCAACTTCTCTCTACAACAAACTGTTGTTGAAACAAATCTGGAGCTAAATGGGACCTCAGCAATATAACATGGTGCATGCTAGTGCACCTAAAATTTCAAGAGTTTAAAACTCTTATCACATAAAGGCTGCTAACACCTCTCTCTAAAGAAGTACTTTCATTCATCTTAATGACCCAGGGTCTATCATATGCTCAGTGTATTCACTACTCATT